CCCCCCCCCCCCCCCCCCCCCCCCGTGAAATATCAATTTCAAAACTGTTTCCAAGAAGAAAAGTGGGTCCTAGAGCCATCCTTGTCCGACACGAGGTGGAAGCCTTCGTCCTTCATAGCCCGGATCAAGGCTGTTTCCAGCCGCCGGGCCTCGCTCCTGTTCTCCACTGGGACAACCACGGCGTCCAGCTTGAAGGCTCTTGCGCCGCCGCCGCCGCCGCCACCGCTGCCCCTGCCGTCTCCCCACCTCTTGGCGTGTCGCTTGAGCCTCTCCCGGATGGAGTCGCTCTCTCCGACGTAAAACCAAACGCCGGCTTCTTCCTCCCCCTCCTCCTCCTTGCCCTTGCCCGTTCCCTCGTTGGGAGAGCAAGGCTTCCCGACCTCAGTCTCACCCCCCCCCGACAACGTTCTTGCTTCCCCGTGTGCGTGTCCTCCTACCCCCTCCGCCACGACAGCTTCTGAGGAGGGCTCTCGTCCAACTCCCGGCCCTTCGTTGCCGCCGCCGCTGGCACCGTTGCCTCCTCCGCTGCCAAGTAGCGCCGAGTAGCGCAAGACGTAAAGGCAAGAGCGCCCCTCCAGGGTCGGGGGGGTTCCGTAGCCTGATTCGACCGAGATGAGGTCGCGGTCCGGCCGATCCGCGACTCTGCACACTACCTGTTCATGTTGATGTTGATGTTGTTGTTGCGCCAAGGTTGGAGCATGTTGTCGCGAACACCGCGACACAACCGCCGCGATGATGAGTTGAGAAGCGAACGTGATAAATTTGAATACATGAGCATGGAACACGACAAACTCGCGCGTCGAAGATAGATCAAGAGACCAACATCACACCCCCTGAAAAGACAAAAAAGCAAGTGGGCCAAACCACCTACCAGGGTCCCACGCTCACAACACATCCAGGGTCGCGTGGTTCAAGGGTTGTCTACGACACACACAGTACCTGGGTGGCATCCTTCATAGTCTTGAACCCGCCCGCAGAGCTGCCCCCTCCCCACCCCTCCCCCTCCTCGCTTGGCCACCAAACGTCACCACCATCGTCATCACTAACATCGCCCCCACCATTCGTGCTGGCCTTGGTGCTACTGCTGCTGCCGCCGCCCCTGCGAACTTGGTCGAAAGTCTCGCTCAGGGCCTGGGCTCTGGCGATGACGCCGGCCGGGATGTTGTACTTCTTCGCCGTCTGCGACAGGTGGAAAACAGGCGCTTTTGCTTGCTTCTTTTGGACCGTATTTTTTGTTGGGTCGTTTTTTGGGGCGGTGATGCGCATGGCAAACGCCGAAGCAACAAACGGACTTTGGCCAGAACAAAAAAAATGAACGAGAAGGGATACGCTCGCGCTCGCGTGCCGCTAGGAAGGAATCGTCGAAGGAGGAGATAAAAGAGTATTTCACTTCTGTTCCAAGAGATGAAAGAGCAGGAAACGACCAAAGGACGTTTCAGAGAGGAGCGATGGGGCAGACGCAAGTTGCGGCCTTCTCGGAGAGCAAAATATGGCACGGAAGGAAAGCAAAATATGGTTTATATACGGCAAGAAGTACCACCCACCTGAAGCGCGAGCGAGTCGGTGCACTTTCCGTCTTCCATGGTGTAAGTCCACCGCGGATTGTCCGCGTCGTCCTGAAACCGTCGTCAGCCAGTCAAGCAGACCAGTCGACACAGTCAAACAATCAGAGAGAAACAACCGAAAATTAATCAAGAGAAGGCAGATGGTAAATACTTGGTAAATAGGCAACGCATGCTTTATGGTTATCTCTTCGCGGAATGGGGTGCCCCGACCCATCGACCGAAGAAGGAAATGGGCTACAGAAACTACAAGAAGGGGCCCAAGAGAGTCTTGGACCAACGGAACGAACAGTGTCACGAAGCAGGTGGGACCAAGATAAAATCGATGGATAAGGCACTCATTGGCCTTGGGCGAAGGGCGTTGGGACAAATCGCAACATAATTTCAGTGGCGGGGACATTTTCCCTCCCTCCCCTTGTCTCTCTCTCCCCATCTCCTCCTCCATCTGCCTTTTCTCTGTGCCAATCCCATTTCTTCTTCTGCGCCCCCGTTCTCATCTCCCTCCCTACTGCAGCACCACACCAACATAGACCCGTTCTCGCTTATCGGCCCCCCTCATCTTTCTCCATCTCTCTGTCTATCCCCCCCCTCCCCCCTCTCCCCCCTTCTCTCTCTCCGACTGTCTCACCCAGTCGATGCCCATGCGTTTGTGGGTGAGGCTCTCGGTCTCAAGGGGTAACTCAAACAGCTCGTGCAGGTGCGTCGCGAAAATGCCTGTGATGGACACCCTGTCCATCTCCTCCAGAATCGCACCGGCCAGAGATGCCCCATCTCTGTTGACGTACAAGTACAGATAAACGGGGGGGCGGGGGGGGGCATGGAGGGGGGTCGATGAAGTACGCATGTAGGGTGGCGCTTTCATCGAGAACGATGGAGGAATAGGCGGGGGACATACGTTTTCCGGAAGGTGTACAACACATTTAACTAACTGACCGGCAAGGAGTGCATGCTGCTGTACATTTCCGGGTGCATGGTACAAATCATGAAAGTGCACACACGACGACGCGACAGCGGGGGAAGCTTTGCTCACCACCTCCTCAAGACTGCCTCTCTTTGCCCTAGAGAGCAACAACACTCATCACGAAAATGAAACCAACTGCTCGCGCAACAACAACGCTCCGATATCACCAACAACACCAGCACCAACAGATAAAAAAAAAAGAGACTCGAGCTCTCAAGCTCGCCTGGCAGACGTCCCCTTGCCGAGCTCGTCGACGAGCGCCAGGGACCGGCCGGACGAGTCCCTCAGCATCACCCGGACGTCGTCCATCTCCAGCGCGAAGGCACTCTTGTCCTCGGCCGGGATGTCGTAGCTCGCCGTCCGCAGGAAGAAGCAGTCGAAGCTGCCGGCGACAAACGAAGGGGATAGGGCTGTTGGTGGCTGGCATTGATTTTGATCCGGATGGGTGCTGTACATAGCTTGCGTGTTTCATGCCTCCTGTCATCGTGTGTGTGTTCGGCGACACAACTTCGGGGGGTCCAGTAAATCATGACCCCCCACCCCCCCCTCCCCGACCCCCTTCTGACCTCGCGAGGAAGCGCCGTCAATGGTCTACCAGCGAAGGCATGCAAAACACAACTACACCCCACCCCACCCCCCTCTACCCGGCGCCATTGGGTTGGGACTTACAAGGTGTGAACCCCCACGAGTGCACAGCTGTGCGGCGGCGGCGGCGGTGGCTAGCCTTTCTCCCACGGACGATGCGTGAGATAAGAACACGTTTGTTTCCGGTTTTCGACTCTCCGGCGTATTAAATATCAAAGACCCCATTGTACCGCATTCCTTACAGAAGCCATACTTCTCGTTCCCATTCTCCTCTCTTCTTTATTGCTCGGTCTATCATTTGACCCAAAACGTGGCGTGGAGTGGGCCTGTCCCCTGCTCAAGACGGCGTGCGCGAGAGAAAAGCTTACAGGAGTCCGAGCACTACCGAAAAATACGGTAGGCCTGAATGACGGCGGCCATGCGAAGATTTGAGTAACACACGACTTCAAAAAACTCCAACACGCCATCACACGGGCATCGAGCCCTACTGTTGTACGGTCTGGAGATCACCGCCATGCATGCCGCGGTGTGTCGAGTACCCCTGCTACACAATTACCCGGCACCACCG